TTCAGCTACTAGTAGATGCCAGATGTTCCCAATCAACGCATTGGTTGCCACCCTGGATTGTCAGGAAAGACCCTTGGTGGCACATAGCGCCACATGACCTCTATAAAATGACCAGGACCAACCATTTCACTTTCTATGTTTTGTTACTAGTTGTTGCCATTGATAATATTTCAGAACTCATGTAGCATCATGTAGCCACTACGTGCTACCCACTCATAACACACAGACAACATAAACAACATCAAGGTTGGTCAGGCCATTTTATAGACAATGACTGAGTTCTCCAGTTCTCCACCTGGCAGATTTTTATTTTCACATCAAAAAATACAGTATATCAAATCAGCAAATTCAAACAAATGATAGGTGATTCATGGTGATTCTAAGGTCGCCGTCTTGAACATGAGACTGTGGATTCTTTCTACGTGAGACTCTCCACAGAATCTCTGGCTGCCACGGTGGAGGCTCGCGACCGCTTGGCGCACGGTTGGAAGCCCACCTTCTTCTCCGGAGGTGGAAAACACGAGGAGGGATCGGGGAGTGCGGCGGGAACCAAAACGAGAAGGAAACGACGGAATTTCAGACTGGTGAGCAAGTTGGTGAAATCCAAAGCTGCAAAAGTCACCAAGACGGTTACACAGAAAGCACCCCCTGGGAAGCTGAAGAAGTCTCAGGAAAAGGCCATTGAGGACATTCCGCAAAATCTCACACGTTGTGAGAAAGGTGACAGGTTGCTAAAACAGAAGTTTCGTGCGTTGGTGACCTTGGATGCAGCGGCCTTTGCCAAAAAGCCTATGTTTGAGATTGACGGAACTTGCCGCATTCAGTCACTTGACGCAAACATGTTTCAAACATTTCTGTATGGGCAGTGTATGGTCTTGTTTTGTTGAACACTGTCCAAAAGTGTAACTATTGAAAGCCCGTTTCTTCATTTGCCAAGCTTTTCATCCTAGGCTGCCAAACTCATCAGGGCGAAAGCTAGATGATATGACGGCGCTTTGCCCAAAATATTTCAGTGCCAAGTACCCCACCAGAAAGAGGCTAGTGTACGGCACCAATGTCTTCAAATTTTTTGAGTTGATACAACATCAGCTCAAGCGATCTCCACCAGATCGCAAAGCATTTTTGAGATTCATTAGGGATCTTCTTGAATTCCCGGCTTGAACGTGCAGACGTGCAGAATCAAGCCTCAGGTACGCAATAGTGCGTGTGATAATGTGTGATCTAGTTGAAGCGAGTTGGAGGGGACGCCAGTGCAATTCTAAGTAGCTGTTCTTTAAGTATGTACATATTCTGGTTTTGGTTGTGGTGAAATAGAGAAGTATTTGTGTTTCAGATCTCGTTTGTGTTATGTTAAGCCTTTCAACTTCTCATAATTTCACACTACCTGTGATGTTTTGTGTTTGCGGTTTGGGGTGTTTCTTTATGTGACATTGTGTGAGATGAGTTATGGCACCCCTCGCATCCCGTGGCTGTGGGAGCCATAGGTTCTGCAGGGAAAGCACAAAATGCGCAGAGACGTGACTGAACGGAACGCTTGGGAATCCTGATCAAAAAAAGACAGCAAACCTTTCTGCGCTTCTTGCTGTGCAATGAATCCCTTTCTATCCCTTTCTTAACCAGCATTAACCAGCCATCAATCCATCCTCTACATTTCAACTCCTCCATGCCGTTTCATGCCGTTTCTGACAGATGTAGAATATATGTACCCCTCCTCATTTCATAGTAGATTTCAAGGACATGATGACATGTAGCGCATGTTGGCCCCCCCCATTTTATACAGGAGGTGTTTTCCTCAGACCCTCTCAAATTATAGACGAGAGGGGGTTGGACAGGCCATTTTATATCTATAAAATGGGGTGCAAGACCCCCCCCCCTGAATTGCCACCCCTATCCCATTTCCTATAGGCTTATTCTTTTGGAAACTTCCGCCGCCGGCTTGCCCGGGAACTGCTTGTAGCTTCTTGATAGTAGTAGTAAGGCCAGGAGCCCCTAGTAGCGTCCTTGCTCCCTAGTAGGGATGCCAGGAGCCCCTAGTAGCGATGCCCTTGCTCTTGGTAGCTCTTTGATAGTAGTAGTAAGGCCAGATAGTAATTGTAAGGGCTTCGCCCGGGTGCCGCCGACCCCTTTTCAAGAGGAGTGTAGCATGTGTAACTGAAGGCGTTAGTGTCGTTCCGGTGGTTGCCCGTCTGCGGAAAGAAGATGGGTGTTCTAGCCTCAGGCGTGGCCTCGGACAGGCTAACTGTGGCCTGTGCTAAAGCCCACAAAGGTGGAGATGCCAATGCCAATAAGGTTGCACTCTGCGAGGCGCCGAGAAGCGTCTGAGGGGGGGCCGTCGCCTTCGGAAGCCTAGAAAAGAAGAGGCTGGCCTCGGCTGCTAGCACCGTACGTGGCAGCCCAGGCCATGCCAAGGCTGCGTGGCCTCGGACAGGCTAGCTGTGGCCT